CTCTAGAAATTTTTAGGTAGTAATTGTAATTTACACCACTGTGTTCTTATAGCTTTGGCCCCTATTTAACATTCAAGTTACTGTTCCTAATTATACAACTTACAGAAATCAGATTAACGAATAACACTTGAATGCTTCCAATATAAAGTAGATAAGCCATATTAAATCGGGAAAGTAAATGGTTATGTCCCCAATCAAAATGGAATTCTGAATTTACCCAATCCTGGCGTATCGTATCTACCTCAACAAACAACAATATATGGTATATGGGAAGGGGACTTTTTTTGTTGGGAAGGGTTAGAAAATTCTTCTGTCATACTGATTTCTATTATAATGATACCAGGTTTTACAGTAAATGCTCTAGTAATATGGTGTAATACTAGTCACATATGGTGTAATACTAAAATCATAGGCAAATTAACTTTGCCTGAGGTTAATTAAACCCATGCTAATATTGATACTAAAAATCCAATGTATTGGGAAATTGAACTTAATCTTCCCCATGAAGTAATTTCTATGGAAACTACTTGGCCAAAAGAAAAATTAGAATGTCTAAATCATGAAATAATAGTCTTCATTTATCTAGCCAAACTTACCATAAGGTACAAATAGCAGAAGATGAGGGAGGAAAACATATTATTAGCTTAATAAAAAATTATGATAATGCATGTAAAGGGTCCTTTGGAAGGCTAGGATGTTTGTTCTCCTCAGACTCATACTTGTCTAATATTGGACATTTTCTACTCCTAATTGGTGTTACTGATTTAATACTATTGCTCTTGGTCCTAGTTTGTAAATGTTGTACTAGGTGCAAAAAACCCCAAAACATAAGACTAACAGGAAAAAAAAACTCAGATCATGATAGCTCAAAGATTAGAAATGATCTAGAATATATTTAATGAAAGCATATAGGATCTGACTGCTTCCCATTTGCTCACCTTTTCTTTTCAATATAAATAAATAATTTGGCGTTGAGTACCAGTTATGGTCTTGCCTCACCCCCAATGGTCCAACATTCAAAGAGACAAAAGCTGACAGTAAGACTTCCTAAGAATGAACCTTCCTAGCACCGTGGAACCGCACTATCCAACCAAAAGGTTGGTCATCAACGCACCCGCTGGATTGATTTATGACCAAAAGGGGAAGTATGGATGGAAAAGGGGCCACATATTAAATGTGACAAGCTCAGGAGACTGAAAAATAACCACATAAGATGGTCTGAATATAAAAATTCCTAACTTAAAGTGCGTCTTGGCTGGTAGTCACATCCTTGGCAAAATCTCACATCTACAAAACCTCTCATTGTTATCTTGTTCCCCAAATGCAATCTCTATGTGCTGTAAAGTGTTATTAACTATGCTGTACACATCAATGTAAAAGAAGTGTGTCTCTCCTTTTACTTTTTATCCAATCCCAGAGATTTCCCCGCTTTGCTTTCTACCACCCCCTTAATCTACAACCAATGGATTTCATGTAACCCTCCTCCTTTGATTTTAATATATAAAATAAGTTGCAAAACAGCCATTTTCAGGAGCCTTTTCTCAATCCTTTGAGACTGCTTCCCGGCAATGGTTGTCAGTTTGGCTCAGATAAACTCTTATAAGTTAAGTTTTCTCTTAGGCTGGATCTTTTTTCATTGACAGCAGGGAGAAAAAGGAGCTGACCTAAATAACTTTGTAAAACAACATATTGACTGGATATTATAAGATTGAAAACAAAAAGAAGTGTACATAAACACTGTAGTCTAGTTGGTAAATTCTCACAGGGTTTAACAATTCTTTTTTTTTTAAGATTTTATTGGGGGAATTGGGGAAGAGGAACAGCCAAGTTGTTGTCCTTCAACCTTAGTTGTCAAGGGCAAAGCTAGCTCAGCTCCAAGTCCAGTTGCCATCAGGTTGCCCATGGGCAGCTCGCAACCGCTCAGCTCAAGATGTCGTGTGGGAGTTGAACTGGAAACCTTGTTGCTAAGAGCACATTCTCTAACCACTGAACCATCTGGAGGCCCATCAGCAGCTCAGGGCAGCTCAGCTCAAGGTGCCGTGTTCAACCTTAGTTGTGGATGCTCGTAGCCCACTATCCCATGCAGGAGTGGAATCAGAAACTTTGTTGTTAGGAGCATGTGCTCTCACCAGCTAATCCATCCTGACACCTGTTGGCCCCTCAGCAGTAGCTCAGCTTGGTTGCAACTCACTGGCCCATGTGGGAATCGAACTGGTGACCCTGTTGCTCAGATCTCGGGCTCTTAACCAACTGAGCCACTCAGTCGGCCCAGTTTAGCAATCCTGAAACTACTTTACATGTATAGTAGGGTTAAAAGAATAAGTGTATGTATAGTAGTTAATGGTATCCACGTACCTCAGTGTATAACTGAAGTTAAAAATAAGCAAGGGGTGAGTGGGAAGGCTATAATGAACCCTGAGTTAGAGTAGGAGATATCAGTGTGGAAAACAAAACAAAACAAAACAAAACAAACAAACAAACTATATATATATATATACACACACACACACACACACACACATAGATATTGGCAATATAGACTATTAACATGGATTAGTAAACATACATATGTTTCTTTGCTCTGTTTGCTGAGAGTCTAGGAAGTTACACCCAGTATCAATAAGCACACCTAGATCTCAGATCTTGATTTTTCTGAAAAATGAAGCCAGGGATCCTTGGAAAAATGGCCAATTTGAGGGCTACAGCAGGAAAAATGCAAGATGAACCTGGAGCATCTTGTGATGTCAAAAAGTAAGGAAGTGCTTTTCAAAAAATGATAAGGATATGTTAAAAGGATCCAAAAACTAACCTCTGATAGTTCTCAATGCCAAAACTGGAACAATTTGAGCAACATAATAATAGTATTGGATGAAAATGAAGAGTGGAGAAAAAGGAACTAACCTAAAAAAAGGAACAACATGAAGAAAGCTTAAATTTTGCTAAGTGAAAAAAGTGAAACCCAGAAGATACATGTTATATAATTCTATTGATATTCTGAAAAGAATAAAATTATAGAACAGAGAACAGATCAGAGGGTACCACGTGTTGGGTAAGGAAGGTGGGGTTGAGTAACAATGGTTGAGAAAAAACAAATATCCATGAGTCCTTACTAATATAAAGAAATGATAGAATTAATAAATGGAGGAAATGAAATTTTTCCCTTACAGAAAAATCCCAGTTAATAAATATACAAGAAAGAAATGAAAGTCACCATTTAGAATACCACAGTAATAACTGTTGCAGGCAAGATCCATCAGTGAAAGCTAAAATTACAGACCAAAACTTTAAGTAGAAACATTATAATTGCATAGCCTCAAAGTGTCTCTCTCCAAATTTACTAAAAAATGGTGATTTTAAAGTATGAACACAAATTCAAGATGGGGCTTGTTTCCTCTCTGGGAGTGTGCACTGGCCTTAGTAATGGATTTGTAAGTGTAGACTGGAAAGGGGGGAATCCTAACTATATAGTGGAGAAAGCTGTCAGACACCACCTTAACCAAGTAATCAAGGTTAATGATAATCATGTTGATATCATGTGCCCCCTGATATATAGGTAGGGCACATCCTTTCTGTGGTATTTTCCCTAAAAATTTATAACCTCAGTCCAATCAGGAGAAAACATCAGCCAAGTTCAAATTCAGGGCCATTCTTTAAAATATCTGACCACTATTCAAATACCTGAAGGTCATGAAAGACAAGGAAAGACAAAAAAAACTGTTGCAGATTGGAGGAGACTAAAGAAACATGGTGACTAAATGTACTGTGGTATCCTGGATTGGATCCTGGATCAGTAAAAGGACATTAGTGGAAAAAATGATGAAATCTGAATAAACTCTGTAGTTTAGTTATAGCATCGTACCTGTGTTATTTTATTAGTTTTGATAAATGTACCATGCCTGTCTATGTAAAATGTTAACATTAGGGGAAGCTGGGTAAAGAGTATATGGGAACTTTCTTTGTAATTCTTCTGTAAATCTGAAATTAAAAAATAAAAAGTAAAAAAATGACTAAAATAGTTCACTACAGTTTTATTAAAAGCTCATCATTATATTCCCATATGATCATACTCTGCTAAAAATGTCAGGAGGATGTGCACATTTCCAGGTAGAGTAGGGTTGTTTTGGGAAATCATAGTGTGCCCTCTTCTTTAGGTTTTGTATATGAAGTTTCTTATATCTGAGCAATTTTTTTTTATTAATACCGAATTGCTAGCTTGCTTTTTTCCCCTCATTCCAGAGAATAACTATGTTGGTCACATATATTATTTTAGTTTAGATACGTTTATTTTCTAACTGTTAAAAATAAATTTAAACTAAAAATAACATCTGTTCATGTTTATACATGAAATTCATGCACACCTTTTTCTCTTGGTCTGTCTAAAAGGCATACTGCTTTGATGCACGTCTGAGGCATGGACAGAACTTCAAAAAGCAGCAAGGTCTCAGTTAGTGATCCCTCAACTCAATAAAGAAGGCAGAAAACTACCAGCTGATTTCTAAAGGAGTGGGCATGATTTATAGTGGGAAAGGGAATCTTGATAAATGTACCGTATTTTGCCGTGTATAATGTTATCCTGAGTATAATGTGCACACATGTTTTTGGCGCAAACTTTCAGGGAAAAAAAACCTTTCATTTTCATTTTTTAATTCAATTTTTTATTTGTTTACATGTAGGTACTTGCTTTTTGTATTATAAAGGAATTTTAGCATTTATTTTTAACATATGGTACAATAAGTTTTATATAACAAATATTATAATACAGTAATTACAAACCACAAGAACAGATACAAGGTACAAGAAATTTTATTAATTGGTAACAAATTTATGATTTTTATGCATCATAGACGGTTAAGAACTCTTCGTCCTAAGTTCAACAAAACTGATTATCATATCCCAGGGTATTATTTTTGCATACGGATATCGTTACTGATTTCTAGAGTCCCACTTTTAACTGATAAGCATAAATAAAATAATTAAAACATTTATATAGCTAGGAAATTAGTACTACCCATGTGTAATGCGCACCTTTATTTTCCCCTCACAAATTTGGGCAAAAAAGTGCGCACTACACACTGCAAAATACGGTATTTAACAATTTATGTGCCAGACACATAATCTTCATAAAAACTTTGTTATCTAGATACCACTAGCTTACTCTTACAATCCAGGAGTGAGGCATCACTTCCAAAGGCACAGCCGCTTTTCCATCCCAAGCTACCAAGAGAAGAGCTCCTGTTCTCCCGCCTCCCAGTGCCGCGTCCTCCCTCTGCGCATGTGCACCCCGCCTCCTTCTCCCGGCTTGTCCTTCACCAGCCTCCAGCTCCTGGGAGGAAACAATCCCTGGCAAAGGAGTTGCGGGTGAGCCCGGGAGGGTGGGAGCGAGAGCCAAGAGGCCCCCGCGCAGCTCGGGTGTGCGGCGAAGGAGGTGGTGCCCGGTGGTGTGAAGGAGTCCCGCGGATTCTGGCGGTACCCCAGGTGTCTGCGACACCTACAGAGCTGAGGGGACGGCGCGCGGGGGCTTCTCTAAGTGGACCGAGATCTGGCGTGGTACGCGGGCTCTTGGGCTCCGCAGGTGTCCAGCTCCTGCGCTGAACGGGCAGCGCCACAGTGTAGTCCTGGCGCATGGGGAGTGAGCGTGCGTGACGTGTGCTCTGGGCCCGCACTGAGGGCACAAGGCTGCGGGAAAGAACAAGTACGCGTGCGCGACGTGTGCACGCGTTGCGTGCACGCTGGGCCAGCGGGCAGGGGGCCACGGGCGCTCCAGGCTGGGGTTGGTAGTAAACGAATTGCTCCTGCGTTAGACTCTGATTCCTTATCTGTAAAATGCGGTTATCAGGGATCCTTGCAGCATTGTGTTCTGACCACTCACATTTTGTTAACTGCTATTGTGTTTATTTGTTATGTATACAATACATGCGGCTGGAGGAACTTGGACAATCCGCTAGGGCCTCCATTTCTCAGTTAACCCATTGGTGAAAGGGAAGTGGGAAAGAGCTGGACTAGCCAGCCACCAAAGCCCTTTCCTGGATCCAACATTCTCCAGATCCCAAGTTGTTTATTTTGTATTCACTTGTTACTTGTTACGTATAATCATGTATAATCATGACAGTATCCTGAAGCCATCGAAGGCTGTGTGACGTGGAAGGTCTGGGACAAATTTAAGAAGAGAGGTGAGCTGGAGCTGAGGGGTGGACACATAGGCTACATAGGAAATGTCACCTCTTCGTAGAGAGTTTGTGAGGGTAGAGGATGAAAGGCTCACTAGCCATAGCTAAGGAAATTCTGTCGTTACTCCTTCCTAAACATCCCCTATTCCCCTCATTCTTGGTTCACTCTGTTCACTCTTTCTGGAGTTGTGCTGCCCTCAAACAATGTCCCATTGTTGATGGCATCTAGTGAGGTGCTGAGGTTCCCACTCTCCTGGCCTTATCAACACACAGGATGGTAGTACAGGCAGGATTATCTGGTTTCACCTTATTTGAAAGATGAAAAAAAAATGAGAAGGTAACTGGCTCAGATCATGCAATTTGTTAGTGGCAAAACCAAGATTAAAAGTTAGGTCTGGGGCCGGCCAAGTGGCGCGATGGTTAAGAACTCGCTTGGGATGCCAGAGGACCCCGGTTCGGATCCCACATATGAGGGCCAGTGACACTGCCCTCCACAGCTAAGATGCTGAAGAACAGCTCAACCTGGAGCTGGGCTGCTGTGAGTCGCCGGCAACGGCGTAGGCTGCACTCCCTGTGGCAGTGGGTTGCCATGGGCTACCGTGTGTAGCCAGCAGCCAGCGTGAGCGGCCAGCAGCCGCAGTGAGCAGCCGTCCAGAAGCCGGCGACTGATCTGCCTTGCCAGAGAAGAGCGCAATGATGGTGCAAACTTGGGCCAGTGAAGCAACATCCTCCACAACTAGATTGAAGAACAAAACGACAGCAACTTGTCTGTTCCCCTTCCCCCAATTCCCCAGCACTGTTCCCATCCCCCCAATTCCCCAATAAAAATCTTAAAAAAAAAAAAAAAGTTAGGTCTGCAGAGTCTGAGCCACTGTCCATTTTGTCACTGTTAAGTCAAAGTTAGTTTCCTATTAAAAGATCCTTTTGAAAATTGTAAGCAGGTTAGAACAAACATTAAAAAATTTATCTTGATTTAAACATCCCCATCCCTTGTTTTCAGAGGTTTCTTGGATTATCTTCCCTCAAGGGATTAATGGTGTTGGCAGGTAAGTAGATAAAAAATATGGCTTGAGGGCTTATTTTCTCAGCAACATCAGTTTTAACAAATCCGTAGTGTTTCCTTTTTTAGATTACTGTTCTATGTTAAACTCATCTCATGTTTTTAATTTTTGTGTTACAGAACCTAAATTGGTAATAAATCAAAAAGAAGCAAATACACTCTGTGAAAAGTTATCAAGTCTAAGCTCAACATATATTGGAGCCACACATGGACATGTAAGTATCTTCTATGTGGAGCTGTGTAGGCGGGTGAATACAAGAACTGCAAGGCAAGCCAAGTTCTCCTGACTTCCTTCTTCCTTCCTTCTCCCTCAGCACTCCTTCCTCCACTAAGAGCGGAAAATGAACAAAACTCAGGTGAGTTTTTTTGTTTATTTATTCCCGCTTGTTTTAAAGTGGGTTTTTGAAATTATATAAGGATTCATACTTTTAAAATGAAAAAGTAGAAATAGACAAAACTTTACATTAAGGGAAATGTAGCAAGAGTAGCAAATCCAAAGTAGGACAGTTGGCAAAATTAGATGCAAGATGTTTAATTTTACAGTTATCCAAGTTATTGTAAAATTTTCTCTGATCTTTCTAATAACAACAGTGAAATAAGTGCATTATGTTACCTGTAATCATTTCATGGTGGAAACAGCATGGTGCCAAAGCAGAATTCAGGGGACCAAACAGTGAGGTTTAAGTAGACAGCACTCTCATATGCCTGCTTAATTCAAGAATAAAACCTTGAAGATCTGGCAGAATGGAAGGACTTTATATCCTCAGAATAACTACCCCTAAATGTTTGTGTCAGCTCATTTGTATTTCTAACTGGAAGAGTACATAGCTCTGACTTTCGTTTCTGCATTTCTCATTTACATTTCAACCTAATAAATATTCATTGCTAATCAGAAGCAATTCTAGAAAAGGCCACCAAACTGTAGTCAAATCCAGTTTTTGTCTTTGTCTTACTTGAATCCTTCTGCAGCATTTGACACTCTTATCCATGATCTCTTTGTTTTGAAAGTCTCCTCTGTTTTTCTGTATGACACTGCCCTCCTGGCCATCCTTTCCTAACTCTGAAAGAATTCCTTTCTACCCCTCTTGTAGTAGCTGTTCCTTTTGCTCCAGACACTCCTTATACCCAAGTTGATTTCATGTCCACTGCTTATCCATCCTTGGCCCATTGCTCTTCTCAATCTACATATTTTTCCTTACCAGTATTGTCTTTTATTTTAATAAAATGTTTTTGAATTGGTAGTATATTAACATGGTTTAAAAAGTGATATAGGGGCCGGCTGAGTGGCTCAGTTGATTAAGAGTGCAGGCTCTGAGCAACAGGGTTGCCGGTTTGATTCCCAAATGGGCCAGTGAGCTGCACCTGAGCTGAGCTGCCACTGAGCTGCCAACAGGTGGCAGGATGGCTCATCTGGTGAGAGCACATGCTCCTAACAACAAGGTTGCCAGTTCAACTCCTGCATGGGAAGGTGGGCTATGCCCATCCGCAACTAAGATTGAACACGGCACCTTGAGCTGAGCGGCCATGAGCTGCCCAAGGGCAGCCTGATAGCGACTGGACTTGGAGCTGAGCTAGTTGTGCCCTCCACAACTAAGATTAAAGGACAACAACTTGGCTGTTCGCCTTCCCCAATTCCCCAACGCTATTTTCCTTCCCCAATTCCCCAATAAAATCTTAAAAAAGAAAAAAAGTGACATAGAAGATGATAAATAAAAACTCACACTCCTGTCCTCTCTGTACCTGATGCTCCCTCTAGATAGTTTGACATTTATCATCTAAACTGGGACACTTTCACTGAGTAACAAAAAGTTTTTACAAATAGTTAAGCTGGGACAACTGGCATATATTGGGACAGACCTAGACCAAATGGAGTGTATGGTCACCCTACTATTGGTATCCACTATTTCTAGTTTCTTGTTTGTCTTCCCAGTGTTTCTTTATTCAGTTAAAGGAAAATACGTGTGCACATTCTTTTTTTTTTAAGATTTTTATTGGGGAATTGGGGGGATGGGAACAGTGCTAGGGAATTGGGGGAAGGGGAACAGACAAGTTGCTGTCGTTTTGTTCTTCAGTCTAGTTGTGGAGGACGTTGCTTCACTTGCCCAAGTTAGCACCATCATTGCACTCTTCCTGGGCGAGGCAGATCAGTCTCCGGCTTCTGGACGGCTGCTCACTGCGGCTGCTGGCCGCTCACGCTGGCTGCTCGCTACACACGGTAGCCCATGGCAACCCACTGCCACAGGGGCTGCAGCCTACGCCGTCACCGGCGACTCACAGCAGCTCCAGGTTGAGCTGTTCTTCAGCATCTTAGCTGTGGAGGGCAGTGTCACTGGCCCTCATATGTGGGATCCGAACCGGGGCCCTCTGGCATCCCAAGCCAGTTCTTAACCATCGCGCCACTCGGCCGGCCCATGTGTGCACATTCTTATATGCCCCCTTTCTTTAAAAGGGAATCCATTATCCTTAATGCTTTTCAAATTTATATGCACCTGTACATCACTGGCATTTTGTTAAAATGCAGATTTTGATGTAGTAGAGCTGGGTGGGGCCATGGAGTCTGCATTTCTAATAAGCTCCCAAATAAAGCTGATTCTGCTGCTAAAGAAACCACACTTTGAATACTGAGTATACACACGATTTTCCATTTTTGAATACTGAGTATGCACATGATTTTCCATTCTTTTTTTGCTTTTTTTCACTTCTTTTTGTAGGCTATCCCAGAGATCTATCTGTAACAACATAGATTGTTGCTTTTTGTGTTATAACTGTGTAAGTAGTTTAATTGTGGATGCTGCATAGTTTATTTAACTAATTAACTATTCCAATCTTTTGCTACTATAAACCATGTTTTAGTAAATAACCTTGTACATGTAGATTTAATCTATCAGCTAAATTTCCACAAGTGGGATTGCTAGATCAAAGGGTAAACACAATTGATAAACTTGATGAGTTAGGTGGGATTATAGTATTAGTTGTATTCCCTTGACACTACACGAGAGTGCTTTGTTTCTCCACAGCTATTTTCCATAGATTATGTGGTTCAACTTTTGGATTTTCATCAACTGATAGGTAAAAAGTGGTATTTTATGTAGTTTGCATCTACAATTTTCTTAACTGTGAGTGAGGTTGAATATTTTTTCATGTAGCTAAAAGTATCTTGTATTTCTATTTCAGTGAACTATCTTAACTGTTCATATCTTTTGCCCATTGTGCACCTAGGTTTCTGACTTTTTTTTTTAGTGTCTGGTTAGCTCTTTATATATTAGGGATACTAATGCTTGTCTATTATGAGTTACAGACTATTATTTTCTGGTATTGTCATTTGTCTTGATAATTGTTCATGGCACTTTTTCCCCTTGCAGGTATTGTGTTTCAGGGTGCCACATTTCACTTAGTCATCATGTCTCCTTAGGCTCCTGCTGGCTGTGACATTTTCTGAGACTCTCCTTGTTTTAGATGACCTTGACAGTTTTGAGGAGTACAACTCAGGTGTTTTGTAGAATGCCCCCTTAATTGAGAGTTGTCTGCTGTTCTTCTCATTATTAGACTGGGGTTATGGGTTTCTTGAAGGAAGACCACAGAGGTAAAGTGTCACTTGGTCATGTTAAATCAAGGATGAAAGCTCTGACTTGACTTATCAAGTTAATGTATCATTATTGATCACCTGACTAAGGTCTTATGGTTAAGTTTCTCCACTGTAAAGTTCCTCTTTTTTCCTTTGTTTTCATACTGTACTCTTTGGTACGAAGTGGGGAATGTTAAAAATCAGGTCTTTCAAAGTGAGAGGCAACAAGCATTTATTGATATCAATAAGAATAGTTATTCAGGAATCATTAATTCAGGCAGAATCCCAAATAGTGTTGTAATTAGGAGACAAAAATCATGGGTATTTATGAGAAAGGGAAGGGGAACAGTTACATCAATAAGAGGAAGGCATTTCTATTGGTGCAGATAACATAATAGTGATAGTGATTATCTTAATAGTGTTTTTAGTTTTCAGTCCAATAGTCATAACTGCTTTTCTTGTTATCTTTGCAAACAGTTCTTTGGGAAACAAGGTTGCTTAGGCCCAGTGTAGTCCAAAGATTATTTTGTTTTGTTTTAACATTCCAAAGATTTGATACATAAGACCTGCAAGGCAGTTCCTCTGATAAGGCAGCTCCAGCTCCATTTTAAAGTGGCTTTGTTTATGTGATTGTTTATAGGAATTATGCTACACCTCCTTCATGGTGGAGTATCCACATAAATTATTAGGAATTCTGCACAGGATATTTGTCTCTTTTCTCCTATTTATTAATTAATTTAATTATTATATCAGTATGAACTAATAACTAAGCATTTTATACTTTGGTTATAATCCAATACTGCCTTGTTCATTTTGCTGTTCACATTGTTCCAGCTTCATTAATTAAGAGCACTTTCAATTGGTTCCTGTGTCCTTTTGACATACCCCATTATTGTGTTTTTGTTTGAATACTTCCTTACTTTCTGGTACTAGAAGATATTCCAGACTCATCTCATATAGTGCCTGCTCTAGAATTAGACACTTTTCCCCCCAGAAAAGCTCTGATTCCTTTTATTGGAACATGGTATTAGAAACCAAGATTGGGGGTCTAGGTGTACCTGTTGCTACTGGTGTGTCATTGCTTGTAGACCTTTTCAGGTGAACAAGGAAATATGTGTGTATACTAACTCATGTATATGCACATATCTGTAAATATTTCAGCGTGTAACCATTTGTATCTATTGTTAGCTCATACTGATGTCTCCTGCTATAATCATTACCATATGCAACATTCTATTTAGACTTCTCCCGTACTTGTTTGTAATCTCACACTCTTAACACTGAGAAGCTGGCTACCACCACCTGTATTTCATTTACTTAATTGTTCAATTTCAGAATACATGTATAAGTGATTTCAGAGTCATTAACCCATAGGCTTTTGTTTTCAGTGTTTGGCCATTGTGAGTTAAGCTGCTAGAAACATTCACATGTAGGTTTTTGCATGGACGTGTTTTCAAACACTTAGGGTGTGAAATTGCTGGATGATGTTTTAAGACTATGTTTAACTGAGAAACTGCCAAACTGTTTTACAAAGGTGCTGAATTCAGTTTTGCACCTGGAACTGAAATTGATACTGTCATTGTTTTGGATTTAACCATTCTAATAAATATGTCATGGTATCTCATTTTTGTTTTACTTTGGATTTCCCTAATGAAAGATGATTTTGAGCATCTGTTCATATGTTTATTTGCTACTCATGTATCTTTGATGACATGTGTATTCAGATCTTTTGCCCATTGTTCAATTGGGTCATTTGTTTTCCTATTGACACTTAAGAGTTCTTTTGGATAT